GCGGGGAGGAAAGTGTATTCAATAAAATAAAATACTATTTCATCCAATGTATCAAACAGCCAGAGAAAAACCTTACTGTCAGTAACAGGAATAGCCTGAGAGATTAATACAATTTTCACTGTGAGACAAATTTTAAGTTGGAAGGCTAAATTTGTCTTGGCCTGAATCCATTGTAACATAGAGCAGTAAGCTGTGATATATCTTACAGTGAGGGCTGAGTTAAGCTAATGTTTAGTGTACTCTTCTTCCTACAAAGAACTCTCCAGGTTAATAACATGCATCAGTTTTGTTAATAGCAGAGAATGAGATGGTGCCCTCTATGCAGTCCAGAAGAAAAGGGAAAAAAATTGCCTTTTTGGAAGTGGAGAGGGGGAGAAACTATCTTGCAGTCATTGAGTAGGGCACAAGCTTATCACTACAATGACAAAAGGAAAGTGGAAAGAGGTCAGGATATCAGACCTCCAGGACTGTGAAATACATTGAGAGACAAAGTACCAGAATGATGGTGGCACAACAATTTATACCTGCAGGAACAAATATGTTGTGATTTAAACTCTTATATCTAGTGATGCTATGACCCAGCAGAAACAATGGCATGAAAACTCCATTTCTATGCTCCTGAGTTGCCAGCAGAAATACTAGAATACCAAAGCAGCTAGAGGTAACAAAACCAAATTAAAGCTCAGCTTTCAGATCATTTTCAGTATTTATACATTGGATAAGAAATGCTCATTCTTCACCTGACCTTTTTTGATGGATAAGCCCAGAAGTTTCTTTAAGATGCTTTAATTTCTGACAAATGCAAAAGACATTAAATTCCATGTTGCTCTTAAAATCTTATCCTGTCTTCTCACCACCATGTCTATCTCCATTAATAGCCACTGCTCACTATTGAGTTTATCTTTCCTGAAAACTCCTAGTGATTATTTTCATTCAAAAATAAATCCAGCTGGATAATATTTTGAATGTATCCAAATATTTGGATCTTTCTGGGGTAAAAGGCCCTAGAACTGGCAAAAAAACCTGCCACTACTTTGCACAGGTAGTCAACAGATTTTTAAATGCCTGTGAAGCTTTTCTGATGAAATGGTGCCTGAAAACATACCTGAGCTAAAGAAGAAAATGTCTAGGTATTTCTCAAATTTTGTGGAACTAAAGAAATAAATACATACATATATTTGCATCAAAAATATTTATTTCAAAAAACCCAGAAAATTTTGAATGGAAAATCTTTCATCAAAATAACAAAATCTTTAGCTTGATAACCATATTTAACCAACCTTTAGTTTGATAACCATATTCTCTGCCAAGAATTAGTTAACACTTTCTACCAATTTCAAATCCTAGATAAGCTCTGATCGTATCACTTGTGTCTGAAAGATATGCTATTTACTCAACAAAAGTCTGGCCAGAGAAAAACCCAGAATCATTTGTCAATGAATGTCGCATCTTTTATTTATACCCTCCACACAAAAAGTGCTGTGAAGTTAAAGTTATGGCTAAAAGAAATTCCTAGGAACATTGGAATATTTTAATTTTTGAGATCTAAGTGAAAAGAAGAAAAGAGAACAAAGACAACAAAAGAGAAATTTTCTCTTACAAAAGAGAAAATTAAGGCCAGAACCTCCATTTCTAACATGTCACAGGAGACCTGCAGGAACCAAAAACTCCCAATGACCTTTAGTGGTGTTCTTACCTCAGATTAATTAACACAATTTATCCCACTGGCATTAAGGTAGCAGCAAAAAGATGACCATTTGTGTTGGCAGGTGGTAGTCAACTCCCCTTTAGAAAGATGCTACTTATGGTTTTTTCCATGAGTACCACTACCATTGCTATTTTAGTTCTTTGTTAGCTGGCCCAAGTTAGAAATACTGTACCCTTTCCCTCCTCATTCATCTCACAGGGATCTGGGCAACACACCATGAGAATTTTGCTGGTCTTCCACAGTCACCTGGGACCTTTTATGTTTGAAAAATAGACATATTCCCCTTTTATACTGCCAAAAATTTCTTAGATAACCATTTACTTTCTATATTCTTGCTCTCTCTTCAAGGAAAAGCTAAAAATACATGTTCTGAAATGAAAGCATAGGTTTGCAAAATTTTGACATAATTGACATTTTTCAGCAGTGGGTTGAGGCAACATCTTATGGCACAATTAAATGATTGCTGATAACTTATTTTGCAGGTAGATTACTATACTAGTTTTTAACTTTTTTACTTTTTATTTACTTATTTCAAAACAAAAAAAAAAACATAGAAGACTTCAAATTCCATTCTCCCATGTCTGTAATGTTTTAATTCAACAGTTGTTTGTCCAATCATTTCAAATCATATAGAAAAATTATATCTTGCTCCACATAGTTGAAGAATACTACATTTTCTGTGGCTGAAGAGCAAAAATAGCCTTCTAATGATAAAGGAATTGCAATAGCTATGGAATCAAATCCTGATCTACATCCCACAATTATTTGGGTTTTCTTTTCTTAGAAGAGAAAAAGAAAAATAATTTCTTGAAATAACAATGACATAATAGCTATACTCAAAAATTAAACTTACATATAGGAATACAGGAATTCCTATGATTTTATTTGATGTTTAAACATTCTTTCACTTTAGTTATTTCTCTTTCTTGAATAGAAAAAGAATATTCTCCTTTTTCTCTTTCAATAGAAAAAGAAAATTTCAATATACGAGCAAATGCAATTTTTTTTTCTCTCACTTTACACCAGTGTAAACTAGGAGTAATTGCAACAATGTCAAGTAAAACAGCTGTTGGGGAAGGCTAAAGCATAAAGTGATTAAGCACTTCATAAAACCATAGGTGTCATGATAGACAGTACATTGCACGACATTAGGTCAAAGTAAAACCTAGAAAAAACGTTTACATGAGTTAATTGAATAACACCTTGTCTATGAACAATTGGCTTTTCAGAAACATTTGAACGAGTAAGAATGTCTTTCTATGTCAAATGCTTTTTACTGAAAAACATGTCCTCCCTCCCATCTTACCCTTCCTTTTGAAAAACTGAACTGAAATGCAGAAATAGTGCCACAGGGAGATTGTAGCTCAGGTTCTTATAAATTAGCCTCTTTCTAACCAATAGGTCACGTTCCCCTAGTAGACTAAGTCTCCAGTGACGCACCATCTTCGTCCTTTAAGAAGAAAAATTACAATGCATGGTAGAAAGCCCCAGGCCAGGGAGCTTATCCCATAAATGGAAAATGGATAAGTGAGTACTTGATTTCCTGGTCCAATGAAATATCACCTTTATAATTTCCAGAGAGAAACATTTTATTTTAATTGGTGAAAAGTCAACATTTTCTTGGCATATAAATCTGTTAATGGTTTGTATCATTAGTATTAAATAGAAGCTGAGAGAGAAATCATGAAAGCAAGCAAGATAACTTGTTTTCTATTTTAAAAATCCTCAGAGATCTTCTGGAGCAACATTTGCAGACATTATGGACTAAAATGAGCTACCAAAGTTAAAATGTCCTGTCCTTCAGGGGTGCTGACATTTGATATTCCTATTGGCCTGAGTAGGAATTTTGAGCTTTTAGCACCTTTGAGCATCATATAAGTTTTATTTAAGTAGTTACTTTTTAGGCACTCGAGTCTGAAGAAAAAAAAGAATTGGCTATTTAGTGTAATCTTATGAAAACATGTGTGACTTGCACCACTTTGAGTTCACGTCTTAGAAGCATGTCTGTGCTTAGAAAAGCAATGTGGAATCTCCCCAAATCAATCTGAAGTCAAAGTTCCATAATCAACGTAGAATTTACTACAAGTGAATTAGCAGAAAAAGAAGTGCAAAGTAATTCCAGAATATCACTAGTGCATAAGTAAGCATTCCTTGTAAATAAGTCACTCGTTTATAGAAACAGGATATAAATAAATGATGTTTGAGACTTCTTTCAAATACTTACAGTTCTTTATATGATAGATTTTAGAACATTCCACAGCATCTAAAATATATAAAAATAAATATCTACAGTATTTACAAAGTATAATACAATCCAATCTTTAAAAATACTTGTAAAGACACGTTCTTTAGCTCATACTGAGGTAAGTAGGTTTGTGTAAGACTGAGAAGAAATAGGAGAGGCAGTCGTTTTGAAGGAATCCCTTCGTCCAGTTGTTGTAGTGTGTAACACAACTAAAAGCATGTGCCATTCTCTGGTGGTCTTACATGTATTGGGCCAAAGTTATCCTTGCTGTAACTCCATCGAGGCAAGTTTAGTTATGCTAGGGACGAATTTGTCCCACTCTGCATTCTCTGTGTTCCCATTGTCTTCTGCAGAAACCCTCACAGCTTCATCTAAATTTGAAGTCATGTTCATCCCTGGTATGTGGAGATGCAGCTCCACTGATTTCACTGGGCTGAGTGTAGCTGGGATACCTGTAAGATAAAATAAAGAATTTAAGATGATTTTACTGTTTGTATTGGGTAGCTGACTGCCTCACCCTGTGATTGTCACTCTCTGAGCACTGTGCAGGTGATGATCTATTAACAAAATGGTCTGCCAGAAAATGTTCCAAATTGCACTTGCAAATTTTAAATGAAGACTTCTTGACTGAAGTCTAAGAGGTTTTCTGATGCATAAACCTTGATTTTCTTACTTTTAAACATTTTTAATGCATTCTACTACTTATTTAATATGCATTATTTGGTAAATTGCCCTGTGGTTCCTTGTACAGATGCCACCGTGACCAGCAGAGCACTACAGCTTCCTGGCTACAAGTCAATCATAGAATCATAGAATCATAGAATGGTTTGATTTGGAAGAGACCTTTAAGGATCATCTAGTCCAACTCCCCTGCCATGAGAACAGGACAGGCAGGGAGAAGACAATGATAACAAATAATAGATACAGAGTAAAACATAATCTACAGCCACACTGCCATCTGGGTTTCATGGCTGTAACCTTGCTTGTGCCGTACATCTAGGAATGGCAACGCTACTGGAGAAGAGCAAGCTGAATTCAGGAAAAAGCCATCATTCCTTCTATAGTAAGTGAAAAGAACAGACTTCTTCAGAGGTAATTTATTTAAATCTTTTTAGATATATATTTTAGGAACAGATTAGCTGTCCTTGGAGATACCAATTTCGCTGTTATCAATATATCGCTTATATAGTCCTAGCCTATAGTGCCTGAGATAACTTTGAGACAACGAATGTTCACATCCCTAGAAGAGGAGGGATGAATCCTGTACTTGCAGTCCCTTGCAAAGCCCTGCTGGGATGTAACATATAATGTAATGAGAAATATCAAATAATAAATTATATGCCATTTTCCCTCTATTGACAAAGCTAAGGAATTGCATCATTTCAGTGTTTACCCAGAATTGGGAAAGCTTGAACAACTCCTGCCTTTCATTTCAGACTGTGTTCATTCCGTTATCAACCTATATTGGAGAAGAATCAAGAGTGGCTTCCCAGCTGTTCCTGAATACATACCATAACCCACCCAACAGCAAAAAGAACAGAAAATGTGAGAAAAGAAATTAATGTGAATTTCTTATTTGATCAGCCCAACTCACGCCAGAATGCATGCTAACCACATCATTTGAAATGTCAGGACATTCAGGCAGCTCAATCTGTACACCCAATTTTGATTAAAATATTCGTTATAAAATATACCACAACTTCAGAGAATTAGCTCTGAGCAGAATATAGCTGTTGATAAACACAATGCAACTCCAGGGAAAATTATTTTCATACTTTCAGGTACCTGTTCTTTATTTACTTAGAAGTCTAAAGGAAGTAGGGATCCAAAGAAAATATTAAGATAAAATATGATTACCTTACCCCCTCCACAATTGCAACTCAACTTTTGAAATAAATGAGATGAAATTTTGTTTCATCAATATATAGCCAAAGTTGTTGCAAGTTCTGTAAAATATTTCTTGTAAGTTACTTTTCTTACAGTCAGTTCTTAATTGTAAACACCTTTCTCTCATTGCATTGTGCTCAGATTCAAATATTGTTGCATGCACAATTAAATTTTACTTCCACAGCATCAAAAGACATAGAGACAAGTATACTACCAGCCGGTAATAGGTGCAATACCATTTGCTGGAAGTGTGTTTATGTTGGTCAATACAACGTGCTCTGAAAGTTTTGAAACATTATCAAAATTGCTGATCTGGGTGGTCAAGGATTTCCGACTCTCTGTACTGGCACGACCTCTGGTGAGCCGTTCATCATGGTGACGGCGAATGCCAAAGATGCAACAAGAAAACGCTGCTTTAAATTCTTCTCTAAATTTCCCTGTCAACCACAAAAAAGACTCATGAAAAAATTGTCCTATAAACTGTGTTTCCTCAAACTTTATAGATTAGTAAAAAGCAGCTATCTAAAGCAAAATTAACCCAAAACACTTCTAATGCAGATGCAGGAAGTCACAATTTCAACATCTTGGAGAAAGACAGAAAACATATAACCTTTGTAAGAAGATATGTGAGGTGTGGTATGAAGCCTAAATTATTCTTGGCTACAAAGAATGGACAAACTAGCATGATTTATGAAATCACATCATGGATAGTCTGTTGATTAATAACATATCTAACAAAAACAAGTAATTGAGCAATCGTAGGCTTAAATGACTGCATCATTACTTCACATGTGAAATGAAAGAGCATGGCTAATTTGTATTTCATCTTGAATACATTTTCAAAGAAAATTCCAAGTGTTCAACGGCCTATTAGTCTGCTTTTGGGGCTCAGAGTAAATTGTTCTGATCATCGTCACGCTACACACCACAAAAAAAACTACAGTGGGCAAATGTGTAGTGAGGATCAATAGACTTTTCCTCCCTGTATTTAGCTGTAATGCCACCAGTTTAGGTCCCGATTCTGCTATCCGTAGCCAAATAAGACAAATACAAACGAAGTCAAATCTATACTAGTAAGTGAACAGCATCCTGGCTGGTTCTTTGGCCTTGTTGGCACATTCTGGTCATGCAAGTACTATTAAAGATTCACAGTCTCCAAAACCCAATACCTGCATATAAAATGCCAACTGGGGACAGCCCCTGGCCTGTGTTAACTCCCAGACAGTATCCAGGGAGTGTTTAGGGGAACGGCAATTGTTTAAAACCAAAGTCATGCCAGGGACTTCTCTACCAAATTAATGTCATGGAGAGTCAAATTCAAGCACTTGGACTCAGGCCCTGGCACTGTTTAGTTTAGTTATAGGTAGATAGCCTGAAGGTAATTGGATATTTCAGGCAACTTGTTCCAAGAAGAAGATCTAGCTCCCACCGGAGGAGCTGGGCTGATGTTACACAGTCATTAATCTTATTTGCTATGGCTCATTACATTCAAACTATACATTAAACTTGAATTCTAGGTAACTGTAACTTACCACTGAGGAAGTTATAAATAATAGGATTGGCTGCACTGTTTGCATATACAAGCCAGTGTGAGAATGTGAACCAGGCGTATACAGTTTCTCTGTCATCCGCATGATTAAACATCCCAAAAACCCTACAGAAAAAGAAAAGTAAACCTGAAAGATGGCAAAATTAGAAATTATATTAAAAGATTTGGCAACTTCTAACCTAATTTTATCTCTGATGACCTATTTGCAGTATCATAGAAAAGCTGATTCAACAGTGCTCACTTTCTTGAGAGAATGAAGTCCTCTCCCCATCCCTCAGCCTCCTGTCTCGGTGGTTTAGCTTGACAGAGACCATCAGTACTTTACCTTACAATGGTGCAGATGCATGACTTTTCTGCTAAGTAACCAGAGTTAGCTGGTGTCAGATAAGCCAAGAAAAGATGGAAAAAGTTGCTTTTGACCTAGTCATGTTATTGATGTTCCCAGCAGGCACACTCCCCAATAAAGAGGGGCTCTGGAATTGAAAAGGCACTGAACCGGCCCCAAAACTGAAGCCACAGTAGCAGTTTCCGTCCTCCAGTGAAATCTGCTTTGCCCAAGTTCCTCACCCCTAACTTTTGCCACTTAAGTGAAAATCTAACTATGGGCCTACTCTGCTATTGTAGTCGAGGCAACCTGTGTAGTTCCTCTGTGGTTCAGATCATAGGTGGCCTGAACTGCATTCTGGAAATACTTCTTTCTCTCCACACTGCCTACCAAGGGACTTGAAGATGAAAAGTACTCAAATTAGGCCTCAGGAAAGTGCCAGAATTGAGTGGGATGTATTTAAACCTTCACATCCAACTTGAAACTATTCCTTAAAAACTAAAATGTTCCTCAAGCACTAATAACAGGTTGGTTATTTTTTAGGATATTAAAATCTTCTGCTATATGTCATTATCGGTATTCCAGAGGGCTCATAAGATGTAACTATACCAAAGCCTTGGCCTGTCAGGCACTATACAGAAACCACGAGTGTCCACAATTATATCTCAAATGAAAAGGAGAGAAAAGGGTAAAAAAGTCAAACATAGCTTCATAGGAAAACTGAAGGGTTAGCCTAAGGTCTCAAAATTGTACGTGATGAGGCCTTCAACCCGCATATCACAGTCCTCGGGGCCAAGCCACAACACTACACTACCCTGCTAACCTTCAGCTGCCGCTTTAGGTAAATGCACTTCCATGGGCACATTTACAGCAAACAAGCTGTAATCCCACGTAAATGACAGGTTTTAATGAGGAGATAGGTAGATCATTTTCATGAGGAAGAGCTTGCTAATAAGGTTCCACAATCTGGCTTTCAGTTTAAGTACTAGAGATAGGTCAGATACATTTTTTTCTTGCAACTGTATGTTTTCCATTTCTTTATCATGAAATAAGTAAGCTTATCCTTCAAAAGTATCCGCCACAACAACAGGAATCTTGTAAAAGAGAATGGTTTTTAGACAGAAAGCTTTACCAAGTGTTTTCATTTTGGGATAAACTTCACCTTTTCAAGACATTGAGGATGCTAATTGGGAGATAACAAAGTGCAAAAACCAGGAGGACAACCATTAGCATACGTGCTGTTTTCCTTCTTGCACGAATCTGTTTTATTTCAGCTGCCACAGCACTAATCTTTGACTTTGTTGATTGTCCCAGCCCTCGGGGTTGTGCTGAGGACTGCAGAGGCTTCCATTTTTTCTGAACAACAGAAGAAGTTCCTGGGATCTAAGAAAGACAAAATAAGGGGCACTTTGAAAAATGAGCACTGTGGGTAGCTATAACAAGAAAAATAGCCATGTTGACATACACAGTGTAAGCTTGCAGGGAGAAATAGGGGTTTTTATTAAATTAATTGATGTAGCTGCAAGAAACAAATCCAATTTCAGACACACTTGAAGGACTGCATAAAAATTTGTGATTTATCCAAATGTATGAACTGATGTATTAAAATTTTCTTTACTCCCCACATACCTTGCCTTCCTTGTGTCTTCAGATTATCACACTTACCAACCCTATTGCTGCAATTAGGTTCCTATAAAGTTTACATTAAATGTTTTACTGTATGGCAGAGTAGTTTATCCCATTAATATGCTGCCAATTTAAGATACTAAACAGCTTTTCAGCATTGGAAAACAAGGATTTAAAGCCTACATAGGTTTAAGTGCCATAAAACCTCTGAATATGCAATCTAGATGACAACAAAGCAGCTAAAGAAATCACAGCTGAAGTGTGGATCTCTCTGCAAAGCTCTTCAAAACTGAATGTACATACAGTGATGAACGGAGGGGAATCATGGAAGAGTGCCAAGACATAGTAAGAATTAGGTTAGCCAAAGACACCTTGCAACGGGTAGATGTAGCACCATGCTATTAATAAAAATCTTGGGTTTTGTTTTCTGTGCCCTCATATAAGCCAAGCCAAATAAAGCAATTTTGCTTCAGTTTTTCAAAATTATTTCCTGCCTGCAGCCAAATGTGAGAGACTACAGATGGCAAGGACTTTCGCAGAGAACTCTATTACAATGACATTTAGAATGTTTTCAATGTTATACATTGTGAAAACCTTTTGGGTAGAAATATAGTTTTATTCATGCATAGTGCAATTGTCCGTGGAGTGACTACTCTCATGAGTGTAAAATAATCCATGTTTAAAAGTATCTGCAAAATTCACATTGTCTATTGTAACATTTTAAAAATTAGGGCTTATCCACACAAACTGACCAGAAAATAATGAAGTCTGGGGTATTTATTTCAGAAAAAATGTAAGCTAAAAAGGGAATGCTTGTTCTAAAATAAAAGCATGCATGTTCAGAATTGTTCTAGAATAGCTATTATGTTGGTTTTTTGGTTTTGTTTTTGGTTTTGTTTTTTTTTTGTGAATAGCTTCCTTGCACAGACAAGCCCTTAATTTAGCATTTATGTGCACCATCAAACCTGATTTATAACTATTGGAGCATTTTGGCAAAGTTGGGTTGTAATTAACAAGAAATCAATGAAGCAGACCGGGGGATACGTTATAATATTTATTTTTTACTATGGATATAAAGCAAAAAAATCCTTGCACTTGGTTCTACTACAGATTCCCACTCATTCAGCTGAAATCAGCAGTATCAGTTTCATACCTGGACATGTCTGTCCTATTGCAAGGGACGTACCCTAATTAGCTGTGGGATATAGTACTGCAATGTGTCTTTGCCATGCACTACTGAGATAATACGCTAAGATGCTGATTCTGGTTTATCAGGGGTACTTTTATATTTTGTTCTTCTAGCTTTGAAGCAGAAGCTTTTCCTTCCTTTTCAGTGATACTGAGTTATCATATTGTAGCAAGAACTGGAGATGGAAGCAGAGAAATTCAGACAAATCTCTCCCTCCTGATTGTGCCAAAGATTCACTTGAAGAAACCAGTGATCAGCTTTCATGGTTGCTAGATGCAATACAGACTAAGAGAAAGATTATCTTGGCTCAAAATTGCAAATGGTTATTTCTACAGAAATGTTAGACATGACTGTGTACATGGCTTGTACCTGTGTGTGCAGGTAGAAGGGTCTTTTCTGCTATTTAAACAGTCTTTAATAGCAAGAGGTGATCAAAGGTAGGACTGTGTACAATGCAGTGTCTCACTGTACTATATATTAAAATGCTAAATCTTCAGGAGTTTGTATTGAGAACCTTTCTAAAGAGCCCTATTTTCCTCAGTCTTTACCTGGCATACACTTGGGCTTTGCTACTGTTACACCAATAGGCAATTATAGAGCAAGAATTTTATCAGGGGGGAAAAAAAAAAAAAAGAGCTATATCCCCAAAGATGCATAGCTGAACCAGTACCATCTAAGGAGCATAACACTTCAGAAATATGTGTGCGTGTGTGTGTGTATATGGAAATATTTACAAATATGGATTGATGTAAACACACATACATGTGTTACAAGTGATAGGACAAGAAGAAATGGCCTCAAGTTGCGCCAGGGGAGGTTTAGATTGGATATTAGGAAGAATTTATTCCTTGAAAGAGTTGTCAAGCATTGGAACAGGTTGCCCAGGGAAGTGGTGGAGTCCCCATCCCTGGAGGTATTTAAAAGCCATGTAGGTGTGGTGCTTAGGGACGTGGTTTAGTGGTGGGCTTGGCAGCCCTAGGTTAACAGTTGGACTTGATGATCTTAAGGATCTTTTCTAACCTAAATGATTCTATGATTATGTATGTACAACTATATACATGCCAGTATAATGCATATATTTGCTTTTTAGTAACAAATCAGTTATAGAGATAATTGTGGAGAATTTGTGCAAGCCCATTGATTCACTAAAAACCCACTACCTGTGTCCAAACAGGTACTAAAAGTTGCAGTTATTTTGTCATGCACCATTCCTCTGTCCCCTCAAATCATTATCAAGGGGTTTATAACCAGAGGAAATCTCTCCAAATGTAGTAACAACTTGCAAAGATTGGAAGGGTACATTTCAGCTGTCAAATGAAAATGGGTAGGGTTTCTAGTTATTAATATGAGTAGGCTTTAGTGTCAATACACTTGGACATGAGTAAATTGAAGCATACAGTATGGAACTTGATAATACAAATTATGTATCAACACTTTCATCATAAGTCCATTCAGTCCTATTTATTTGTTCAGAAGTTACTTTTAATCTACTTAAAATCCACAAGAGAACATAGCCTTCTAAGTCACTACTTCCTTGCTAATAATTAAAATAAATGACTCAAAATCCCTGGTATTTGTGGCATGATTGTTCTTGTCTTTACAAAGATGAATCATTAATTCAACAGTTGTAAAGCTTATATTCAAAGATCTGCTTGAAAGACACAATCAGAAATTTTAGGAGCTATTGCACAAAGTACAGTAAGGATAGCTTGTAAATCTATCTTACCTTTAGTCATCTGAAAATTTGCACGCACAACACGCTCTATTTTAAAAAAGAACCTTTAGAAAAAGTGTAAGGCATAGAAAGCATCTACTGTTTGCTGTGTTTTTTCTATCACGTACATCTGGAAGGCTTATTGTACCTTGCAATAGGACCGCTATATTTAACTGAAGTTCTGGTAAATAACATGATTTCTTAACTGAAAAGATTATTAAATAATACATGTAAAGCACTGCATTAATTTGCTCTACATGACTGATTATGGCACATCTGTTGCACTTAGAAAAATGCCTGATGTCTGCAGCCAAGTCACAGTTGATAATAGATGTGCAGTGGTTTTAATTTCACTTAGTGCAGCCTCTTACACATAGTGCTATCATCTATGCTAGGAAAAGGGATATCTGCAATTTTGCATCATGAATAGCACTAAGCCTGTAGCAGTATTTGTCTTTTTGCCACTGAAAAAAAAAAATAAATGGATCCTCTTAACCTTGTCAGCATGCAGGATGTACAGGGAGAAGAAATACTGTGAAGAAATAAGCTAGCTAATACAATTGGGGAGGGAAAAACCCAACAAAACAGGTTGGTTTCCAATCATTCAGCTCCTGCTCTGAATCTGAACCAGCATTTTCAAGGTACAGGCAGGTTAAGAACAATTGCTTTGCATTAACTTAATTAATGGACAGTTTGAGAGAACAGGTAGATAGGTAGATTGTAAAGAAAGTACAGAAGAGAAGAAGGAATATGGTGATAAGGTCATTGGGTGCTACAGGACAGATAACTATCCAGCAATGCAGAGCATCTTAGAGCTATGTTAGATTGAACTTAACCCCAAAACTAAGTTCTAGTGAAGAGTGTCCTCAAACTGTAAAGGTTAAATTTTACCTTCAAACTATCTTGTTAATTAATCTTATAAATGTAAGAAATTAAAAGAAAAAAAATAATTTAAAGATAAACAGCAACTCTGGTTTAACCTAGTCTGATTAGAAGTGAGAATTATTGCTATTATGATGTATGGATGATAACAAAATGCCCTAAAGTAGATTTGAGTTTTCCTATATTTTAGTTATTTGCAAGAGATACATTTTGTCAGTATAAGATTTGATTTTTAGATTTGACATACGTATATTTAGAAATCTAAAGAGTACTTGTGATTTCTTTGATGGATCAATTTGAACTGCATGAAAAATGCTCCTGATGTGGCAGATATGCCCTGGCCAGGGCAGCCTCAAATGTGGATGGTATCAGACATAATGGTGAGAGAGAAATGATTCATCCCTGTATCTTGATGGAAATGTCAGCCATTGTTAGAGCTATTTGAGAGTACAGGAGAGGGAATATCTTGCATCATGTCTTCAATGGGATGAGTTTATTATTCTTTACAGAATGACAGAACAGGGGGTGGTGGAGGACCACAGCTATAGATAAATCCCAGAGAAAGCGGAAGACAGCAGAGAGAACCATAGACTGATGCATGACAGATTACAGTTCACATCCAGAAAATGATTATCAAACTGACACAACTTTTAATTGTTGAAGGGGGAAGA